CGGATTTAGTAAAACATTTTCTGCAAGCTTATTAGCGTCCATGCAGGAGTACACAAGCTTCAGAGGTTACCACGATTGACATGCTCCACTGCGTTCATTCAAAAAGCGCGAGCAATTTGAATGGCAAATATAAAAAAAAACTCAAGTGGCATGATAGCTATTCCCAGATTAGTCTGCCTCCAAGGCACCACCAAGACGACTGATTCAGTTTGAAGCATATAATTCTGTAGTTCACATGATTTTTACAATTTTCTACTATAGACTTCTTCCCGGGTCAAGAATCTACCTGTAGGCAGAATAAAATTCATATCGTTGTCATTCTGTGTTTTACCTTCAATTTGTTCCTAAAACTGCTCCTTTAGATATCGCGCTCAACACCAAATTAGTCCGAAACAGTTTGTGCTTGGTGCTTCTGAATTTTAGGTCCCTTCGTTTACGATGTGCATGTACTAGAAACGATCTAAGGTAGGAGAACGAACTCCGCCAGTCTGAGCCCGCCTTCGCCTGTAACTGATCCTTTTGTAAGGTTGTTGCATGTCGTCGCAGGAATAGCGAGAGTTGGTCAAAGGCTACGTAAAATTTTAACGCTAGGAGGACTTTGTTTCAAAGAATCTTAAGAACAGATTCATGCCTCCGTACGTGGTCTAGATATGGCCCCCTTACTCTCGTTCGCTACGTACTTGAGCACAAACTTGTTTGAGGAAAAATGAAGGTACATCAGCAGGTACAGCATCTCTGCCTGGGGACGGGCAGAAGTCGAAGTGGCCATTTCAAACAAGCTGCATACTACCCTATTTTCAGGTGTATAAACCGCACCCTTTTCACTCTAATGGCGAACACGCCAAAAGACTGACTGTCATCATGGAGCGCGTTAAGTGAGAGCATCGCGAGACACATGCGCGGCGGCACGCCTGGGTCTGCTCGCGTTTAGAGCAAAAAGGGTGCGGCTTATACACCTGAAAATAGGGTATATATTGCTTGCAGCATGGAAACTGGCTCCGACTCTATCTGCTGGGCGCCTTTGTAGACGAAACCATGATCGTGAAGGAAAACCTACATATGAGTTGCAAAAAGACACAAGAATGCGTAGCTCACCTTGAAGCCTGGACACTACAAAGCAACCTAAATGCAATTTGGCCCAGTATTAAGCCAAGCATGTATCTGTATGATCGGATTTGCACTTTGCATATACCATTACTTTGCAGTATCATGGCTTATAGCATAACCTATGGAGGCGTTCAGCAGATAGAAAAGTAGATTTGGATTCAGCTTTCCATTCTGCGTCCATTGGTGTGCGGCTTGTTGTGTAAAACTACGACTTCTGCCGAAAACTTGCGAGATCGGCCTTCCATTTCCAACGTTCTGGAAGTTGGGAGGTGGACGCACAACCACATTTTGGCTCTGGACTGTGAGTGCGTTTCTAGCAGCATCCGCTTTCAGACGGGGAAGGCTTGTGGGGGAGGGATCACCGGTGGCAAAATTCTCGTTAACACGTTTCGGACCGCGAAATCGCGCGCGGCGAAAAAGAGTGTACTTTCAGCCGTTAGCCTACAAAGGGACCTTATTTCGCAGCCTGTGGGCCACATTTGTAATCAGCATGTCAGATAAGCTCCATATCCAAAGTTCTGAGTGAACTCGAAGTGTTTGAATTTTGTCGCTTGAGAGGGACTTTTGTGCTTTCTTGAAAGATAGGAACAAGAACTCAGATTCTAATAGTATTCAAAAGTATCTATGTTGTACACGGTACACATCATTTTTGAAACTAGGGTTTTTCTCTTCGAAATCAAAGCAAAGAAAAGTTGCGACGTCGCACGCGTCGTTCGCGTCGCCGCACTTCGTTGCAACTGTTCTTCGATTTGTGCTCATATCTCCTAAACAAATAGCGGCGGCACAACTCTACAGAGTCACTTGGAAAGTAGAAGCTTTAGCCTTTGACTTGATAATGGGCTAAGAGAAAACCTCCTGTAAACGTCAAAAAGATCCTTCAAAGCAGGGTGCTGCACCATGTGCAGCACCGGTCCGAAACGTGTTAATAGCGATGGGTTACAAGGCTGTGCAAGCTTGTCTTTACTTGTGAATAATTGGATTTTCTGAATTAAAAAAAAACAAATATTTTATTTTGATAATGACCGATACACTCAGGTGCGAAAGGAAAAAAGAAGGAAAGAAAAGTTCTTGACGAACATTGCCCTAGCTGTCCCAAACTTCGGGACCGGCCATACTATTCCAGGACGTGATTCCTGCAACTCCTGTAATTCCTGCAATTCTTTTGATTTCTCGACTGGTGTGAGGCACTACGGAGCGCTTTGCGAATTTCAGTATACATTGTTTTTTTTTCGCAATATTTACGGGACCCGCAGCAATTATAGGAATCGCAGGAATTGCAGAAACCACAGGAATAGTATAGCCGGTCACTTCAAGGAGTAGATTATGCGTGAGTATACGCTGTAAACCACAAATTGGCTTTATATTCTTTTTTCTCATCGGGAGAGCTGCATTAGTGACCTTTTTTCAATGTTTCAAAATCATGGGACGCAAATAATCTGGGTAGCATTCCAAAATTTTTCTGGAAGCGTGGCTAACGCCATGCACTTCATTTGAAAGAAAATCTTTCGTCTCGCATTTTCTCCTTAGAAAATGAATCCTTGCCCCACCTCTGCTTTGTAAAAGAACTTAACTGCACGAAAACTATAGCCTAACTAGTGGAGAATCGACTTCACACACTTTTGGAGGCAGCATTCACTCAGCAGAAAAAACATGCTTCTTCTGAAATAGGCTGATACAGATGAACCAGAGTAATTTCTTTACGCATGTGAACAAAACATGTTCATTACATGCTAATTTGTCTGCGGTATTATATCGTCAAACAGGAGAAACAACATATCTGACTTTTCCTGTCGTACGACTTGCCCACAATTGATGAAATCGTTCGTCGCAACCTTTTCCCACCTACTTCACTACGAGAATGAGTAATGTGGGAAGACGTACGAAAAACTCGTTGCAGCCATTGGTCAGATCTCACTTTTATCCAGCGGCTTAACAAGAATGTTGAAGCTGCTTCTGGTAAGTAACAGAGCAAAGAAAAGGCAAACGATGTTGTATCTGCAAAAGGTCAACTCCACCTAGCTGGACAGGACAATATGGCATATTTATGAGTTATTAATGTCGAGCTGTTCATAAAGCTACTATGTTGCCGAGCACCTATGAAGCTTCCGAGCCTGACAATAAAGTAAATGAGGTAAATGAGAGTAAAATGCATCTACGACCTTTTGTGTTTTTGCTAGAACTCCACAAACATTAATCCAACTTTGTTCTCGATGACATCGTTTACAAAGCCAGAAGAAGTTCTATCATATCAACTCCATCATTACCAACAACAAGATAAATAACAAAGAACGTATTAGTTTCTCTCGGCAAATTACAAAGTGGAAAGCATCTCTTGAAGTACTGCTATGAATTTTTTTTGGAGCCCATCAACAACAAATTTCACTCCTTTGGAAGTTCATCAACATCTCATGGTGAGTATTAGCGGTACCAACTGCCCAAGATGACCTGTAATCATAACGCTGTATGTTACCTAATTAATTGTACCGAATTGATAAGCCGCATTTATTTCTGAAATTAGGATCTTGTATGCAAAGAAATTCGCCCCTCACTCCAATCCACAAAGCTAAACATCCATCAATGCTCATTTCATAGCCCTCAAAAGTGCAATTACAAAGTGATGCTGAGATGAAAACTATCAGATGCTTAAATCATGTATTGCGTGTGTATTGTTGCCGACGCTTTTACTAGAACTCATCAATCAATATTCCAGCTTTTTCAAAAGGTGGAGCGACCTTTGCTGATTTTGCTTTTTTGGAATCTCAATATCAATAACCAGTTTTTATAGAAAGGTATCATCGCCGTAATGTTTTAGTTTTCAAGAGCGCTGAAAAAGTGTTCCCTTCTGTTGAAGTCAAAGCAAGAACTCCGGTGAAGTGCTCAATTGTTGTAAAGTGATAAATTTTTTGTCGAAATGAGGTTGATGAGGGAACGTAGCGCACGCGCTGCCGCCTTTGTCGCTTCGTTGTGATTTATACGCCAAGTATGTCCGAATCAAACGAAATTATTCAATTCGCCTTTCAAGCGACCGCACGATGGGTGGCTGCTGTAGAGATGATCTTCAAAAATTTTTTAGCATTTCTGCAGTAAAAAAAAAACGAAATTTTTAGGAGAAAGCGGAGGACAATGTTGAGTTAAAGATGGTTTTTACGTACTTGACACGGTTCCTTACCACCCTAGTGTATCAACAAAAGATTACGTCGTTTGCGGTGTGGCTAATCCATGGCAACAATGATGCCTTTGCCGGACAGTGCAGCCGCCCTCTTCTACTGCTTGCAATTACTACTTGTTACGTATGTGACGTCACCTTGACGCGCAACAAAGAAATCAAATGAGTCGGCAAACATTGCAGCGCGACGTTTGAACTCTGCATGTTGCAAATATGGGGCAAACCGTCTTCTTTGTATTCAAGATGTCGTTGTGAGACGAGTAATTTTCATTTTGAAACCTTTATCACTAGATATTTTACAAGACACAATAAGATGTTCAAATAATATAGTACATACAGTAATTTATGACACATAGAAGATTCTAGAGCATCTGTCATTGTTTCCCTCAGAAGGCGGCAACACTCGTGTTAAACCGGAACCCCTCATAACAATCTCCTTCAATGCTCGCTGAGGTGAATCGATAAGATTCTGTTTCCGCTACTTACAAAGGCAATTTAGCACCCCAAATATAATGAGCTGGGTTTGTGTGTATGTGTGTATGTGCGAGTGTTCAGTGTGTGTGTGTGAGTGGAGTGAGTGCGTGGCCTGCGGACGTCTGAGGTGGACCCGCAAACTTCAGAGGCGACAATTGGTGAGCAATAATAAATGAAAACAAAACAAGCACTACAGAGAAAGCAACAGATATAATGATATATGCAGTTGCAAAACAACTCGTATCAAGACATGCTTCGACAACTGCGACGAGTTCCGACCTAAGTGTCTTTTTACAGTACTTTGATTATTTGTCTTCTCACCCCTTAATTCTACCTGCATCTAGTTGCTAAGTGAATACTGTCATATTCTGATAAGGCTTGCAGGCTAACTCTATGATATCACTAATGAAACTGGTGGTAGATTTCTGTTGAAAACATGGCTGCAGGATGATGAGACGGTGGATAGTGAGAAGGCGGACCGTAGGACGGAGGACGAATCAGCGGTGCGCTGGAGGGAAACTGTAGCGGTATCTGAAGGCATCCAGCTATATGGGAAAATCTATTCTCGAATGAATTTGAACAGTATATTATGATAAATGAATAGACTTACTTCACTGAGATCAGGCTTCAGATTTGAGAACGGGTCACCTGGCGTACCGGTGCTTGCATGTCCAGAATCGCTGCTCTCGTCGAGCTCCGGAGTAAGACAGTTCTTTTCATGAGCCTAAAACATGGCAATCGTGCACCGAGCAATCTTCTCAACTTTTCAGCCGTTCTTCTTTTCTCTCACCCTCTCCCCACCCCTTTCATCCCTGTTCTGTCCCGTTTTTATGTGATTGTTCATGAATGCGACCGCTATTCGTTGCTTTGTATCACACAATGCAAAACAGGAGAACCCGATTTAGAGGCGTTAAACGGGACGAATTTCTCTAGCGCAGAGGTAAGTTGGTTGATTTGTCCGGGATCGACGAGTCTGAGGTCAGAGTCTCAGCGAACAGAGCTGGTTATCTGAACGCGCGCGAAATAGGCGCTAAGCCGGCCAAATGCCAATAACATGTCATGGTTGAGCGGATTTTGTTGATCTGATTGAGGTGGCTTTGTAGGGTGTGAGCCGTTGAGAAATTAGAGGGAATCGTTCAATCTCACCTTCATATGTTTCCTCAACGAACTAGGATGGCTGTAGACTTTCTTGCATCCCTTTATCTAGAACAGAATTTGACTGAAAAATCTTCTAACTTCGATGAAGCTCCTCACCTTGCACTCATAGGGCTTCTCAGAAGTATGAACATGCATGTGTTTCTTTCGATCTGACGAATTCGCGAATGTCTTATCACAACCAGCATGAGGACAAGGAAATGGTTTCTCTTCTGAAAATCAGATTTGTTATTCTAAGACAGAAATCCTCGCTATGTACATGCAGTAAGTCGCATTCAGCCAACGGCAAATTCGCGCATCCCCCTCGCACCTAAGTGCCAAAAGGCCCACTTTTGTAGCCTCATCAAGAAACAACTGTACTCTCGTCGTGCCGGGTTTTGCCGGAGGATATCTCTTAAGTAACAATTGTTATTTGAGGTTATCGGAGTGCAACATCTGGCCATCTCAAGCATTTTGTGATACGATTCCATCAACAAGTCATTAGCATAGCTGTGAGGTCGCTGAAAAATGATCGCAAAATCTGGATCAAACGGTGGCGCAGATGGTGTGGAATCGCACAAAGATTTGAATGGTGAGACGAGATATTCCATGTGAAAATTCTGGTTAGCTCGTACCCAAAGAATGTGTTTGGAACAGTTGGAGACAACTGCATACTATGCAAGTACAAACACGTTCAAATGTGAGCGAGAAATTCTAATAAAGTTGCTAAAAATAGCACAACACAGGTGGTCGATATTGGATTTTTGCAATGTGTTATAATTTTTAGACAAGAACAAATCGTTCCATAATTGACATGCAATTCGGCAATGGCACTAATTATCACACCTTAGCAGGTGTGCAAGAATCTGTCCGAAGAGGTAAAATGAGGTACGGGCCAAAGATATTGGACTAGATATTGCGCGATCTGATTAATACCTCGACAGCCCAATAAGGTCAAGAAGATTTTGCGAATTTGGATATAAGTGAAAAGAATCACGAATGTCTTGGATCAAGGCAGATCCTTTATTATATTGTAACGCCATAAATCGTGCATGCGTTTCACCTTTTCTATAGACCCGGCTGGGGTATAGATGGGCAAAATTTGCTTAACAATAGGAGACCATAAATAACGCGTGGATGGTGAATAAAATCAGTTAAGATATACGAATACTCGGTTGAGAGACATGAATTTTTGATATGATAAACGCGGATAAATAATGGAACAGCACGAGATTCCGGAAGAGGTATTCGTAGAAAGTATAATAGATTCATAGCTTATCTTTTGGTTATAAGCGTACTATTGGCAAATTGCATATTTGAAAGCTGTGAAAACTCACTTGTGTGCGTTCGTACGTGAATTTTCAAATTTTCACTCCTGGCAAATTCTCGATTACATTGTTCGCAGCGAAACGGCTTCTCACCAGTATGTACTCGGATATGGTTAACAAGTTTATATTTAGCCTGAAGAAGCGGTTGATAAATGCATGTGCGAAAATCTACAAACAAGCTTTTATCTACTTTGAAAGGCTTTCCGACTCGATCACAGTTTCTCCACAAACAGACGTGGGAAGACGACTCAATAAGGCCAATATGATGTTGTGAGACGTGAGCTGCCACCTGCGATGAGGTTGCGAACATCATCCCGCATTCTTTACCCGTCTAAAAGATTCATAATTAGCTAGATGGTAGGTTTGAAAGAAGGTGCGGGTGATTACCTCGTTTATCCACTCGCAACGGATTACGGTCGCCGTGGATTTTTGTGGAAACTGGAAATGAAGCGGTGCCGGTCTAGAAAGCAAAATGATTTGTTTCGTTTCAGAAGAATATGCGAAGAGGTGTGCCTCACCTATAAGCATTGAAGTATTCTGATTGCGTGTTATGTTGAGGGAAAAATGGAGGTCTGGAGCCAAAACTGGCACTTTCCAAGTAAAAATCCGGGATAGTCCCGCATGAATACGGCGGCAGTGGCTGATCTCAAATAGAAAGCGGCAATATAGTTAAAATTCAATGACAATGTGCCGTAACAAAAGCTACAGATTCGAACAAAACATGCAATGAAAGGTAAAAAAAGTGAAATCACTCACCACTTCGAAACATCATTCCTTGCTGTGGATAGCATTCAGCGGGCGTTGGCTCACGACCAAAACGCTGCGGACAGTATCCGCTGAACATTTCTCGGATAAAAAACGAAGTCGAGATAACTCCGAGTACAGTAATCAGCAACGAATTTTCTACCGTGCTGCACGCGTATTACCTCACAGTGGGTTGCACGGCTTGAGGCCAATCGAAGTCCCACCCCCGGCGAGTGTTCGCCTTTCGCCGTAAGCAGAATGGGAGGGGCGGACGGCTGCGATTGGCTGGCATGGCGAGCATGGGCGGGGCCGCGCTGGTGAGGTACAATCGACTCCACTCACCAGGGGTCGGCTGGCGCTATTTAAACTAACTCATGACAGCTCTTTTGAGGTTTTCACTTTGTTACCACTATCTTATCTCATCCTTTTCGCTATAAATCTATGCATCAGCTTAGTTTAGCAAGTCAAAAACTCACGGTATCCAGAAGCGAACGAAGCTCGGTGTAACGTAGTAGTTCATGGTCGTTTAGCCTAAAGCTTTCTAGTAAACTTACATTCTACATTCATCCACACCATTTTAATGATAGTTCAGATTGTAGAGACAAAAGATTATGTCCTAGCTCTTTAATAACATAATCTAACTTAGTTTGTAGATTTTTGGAAAATGTAAGTCGGCCTAGGGCTTCTTCACCGATGACAACGACTTGCATCTGCTCCAAAGCAAAGTATTGTAAATTTTGTTTTAAGTGCTCCATCAATCAAATTCAACAATGGCGAAAACGAATGCATCTAAGAAATTGCAAACGGCAAAATCAAAACATTCTTATTTGTCAGACAATGGCAACCAGGTGATAATGATGAAGATGGAGATGAAGGAATGGTGTTGGGATGGACCGAAGGTGCGATATCACCGAGCCATCATTCATTTATATCGCATATATCCACCCGCCGAGGTGATCATTACCTGGGTGACGGTAGCGATGAAACGCTCAATTATTGTGGGATATGTTTTTCTGGGGATTAGAAAGTAATGCGGAGATTCTGATCTCCTTTGTAACCATATACAGAAGATACAAAGCTAGAGTGAATAGTTCATACTTCGCCAAACACAGTCTTTGATTTTTATTTGACTTTTTCTTGAATTACATTCCACATCCCGCAGAGTTTTTTCGATAGAACCTGTGACATGGCGCTTCCTACCGTAATCTCGCTCCGCTTCCTTGTCGCTGTCTCTTCACTCTCAGATTTCGCTATTTTTCCTCTTGAATTCCAAGTTCACATCCTTGTAGAGTATTCTACCCCTACTTGCAAAGAGTGAAAACGTTTCATATAGCCGCAAGGTCGTCCAACGATAATGTTACGATAGACGGTCGCGTGCCGCCTGCCGCGATTCTCACCACCAAATCAATCAAATTCGCATCGCTTCCGAAAACGAGTACGGTGTCACACCAGACATCTCATTCGCACTTCAAGAGATTTCTTGAAACAATTTAGCAACAAAGAGCGGTGTGTTGGCTCGACTTTAGCGTGGAGTTCTGAGAAGGCATCAGTGGATTGGCCATAAGTGTATGAGTTATTGATATCTCATAGATGGAGGTGTTTTCTGTGAGTTCGGAAATTGACGTTTTAAGTTCACTGCACTCGTGAAAACAAGTCCGCACCTCAACATGATATTGTTTTCGTGAGAGTGAGGATACTGTAGCGAGTATTAATATCCGTCAGCTTCCATTCACTGGGTGAACAACACTAGCCTATCGCTCACGTACAGATTCAGGAAGGGAATGCAAAAAAACATTGATTAGATGTCCTTGCTAGTGTTTTGGATCCATTCTAGGTATTCTTGTCCTTAGATACCTGCAGCAATGACGTAACAGCAATGGTAGCCCGAACGTTAAGTATCAATTTCCAATCAAGCACCGGATAAGAGGGCGCATCTCGACCTCGTCAGACGTCACGCTAGAACCGGTATATACACCTCGAATCACCTTCACGACGATTTGCATAAGTGTGTCCTGAAACGTAACCATTCTGCAACCGTTAATCCTAAAGGGTAGAAATACGCCTCGGGCTTGATTGAGGTTGTCCGATCACTTGAAAAACTTTACTGGAATGTGAAAAGAATTTTGGTTTATCAGTTCTGCAGCGGCTCCGTTATGGATGTAAAACTTGATGTGCGGAAAAGTTGTGCTTTTCATGATATCGAATTCTTTGGTATTCTACCTTTTTCTTTCCGAGGAATGTTCGCGTTTGATCATCATTACTCCAATTTCCTGTGGTTTTCTTCTCTTGGGAGATTTCTGGAACATGTTATTCTAACAGACCGAAAGTCATTGATCTAGTCGATTAGGCTACAAGCCTCAAACGCCATCAGCACCTGACAAGTTCAGAGGATTTGTCATCGATAATGTGAATACAGACGGCTTCATCCACTCATGTATGACTGACATATGCATGTATATCGATTACATGAAATCTCATTACAATACCAGCTATTGTATGCAATCGCCGCTGGCAAGTTGCCAACTGCGAGCATTGTGTGCTTGATGTTATTCGAAACATATTAATCGGGCATGTGAATGTGTTGGGTTGCCGATGGGGAAGTTTTGTCATTACACAGCATGAAGCCAATTTTGAGTGCTTTGTGAAGCAGTATCAGCAGAATGTTTAGTAGAGAATCTGAAGCAGAAACATATGGTTGGGCTAGAATGAATAGTAAGTGCATATAGCAATTTGAATCAATGGAAAAATATTGGTTTAGAAATATAGTATTGGAGGTAGAAAAGAAAATTCAAGTTTGAAAAAGAGATTGTGGAGATACAACTTACATTTGGAAACGTTGTACATATAGAATGTTGTAAAACTTGCCTGGCTACATCTCTGGCTAGAGCTAGTTAGAACCACAACTCAAACTTTTCATTCTCGACTGCCTCACATTTTTCGAAATTCTGATCATATAATGCATTCGAAATTGAAATTTTTATGCCTGTTACTACTCTGCTGTTGTTCCAGTGTCTGGTCAACGATGAGGTTTTATATTCTAAACAGTGGATATTCGACCTCATGATTACGGTAGTGTTCGACTTGATGTTACGCAACAGGGTAGCGCTACACAATTGGACGCATCGAAGCACGAAAATTGTTCTCTTCCTAATCGCTGACTTAAGTTCGCTTATACCTACGGTTAATTACTCTTCTACCTTGCGCATATTTCCCAAAGCGCAAGCAACAAGCCCTCGATCCACAATTGTTTTGCTCTCATAATCTAAGGGTGGGTAATTTGTAACCATGCACATTATGGCGCTAATCGGTTCACGCTATTTGTGGAAACGCCATGCCGCCTTAGACGGGGCTATTCTCGCCTTTCGGATTTGCCTCTCAATTTTCTACAGGCTATTTCCACACCTTTGCAGTCACACTCATTATAAATCCTAACCGACCGGAGAAAAAAGAGAAATCCAAAGGGCATATCACCTACTTGAACTTGTACCACCAGTAACGATCAAAGGACTGTACAAGGCAAGAAACTAACTCTTGTTGAGCAAGAATCTTCACAGAATATAGCGGCCAAATTTTCGCTTTGATTCTTGGAAGTATTTACTTATTGCTACTTATTTGCTGTGTTAGTTTTGTCACGTACTTGACCGGCCATACTCGTAACAATGGCTCTCTGCAAACAAAGCCTACGCAACAAAACTCAAAGCTTATTTGGGTATAAGAATTTGGAAGTTGGAAGCTGCTAAGAGTTGAAAAGGTTTTACGGGCTGACTCAAGCTGAGTGTGACAATATAATTAAAATGTGAGGCAGCCTTGGGCAGTAGCTCAAAAAGGAGAAACTTAGATTTGGTGTGTCCTCACTAAAATTTAGCACTTTGCTAGAAATCAGGGCTCGGCACGAGCTGGCACTAGGGAGATTTCAAAACAAAGTCCTTTTGGTCTTGAGAATTTCGTACGTGGTCCGGTTTGACCCTACACCCTGAATGTAGAAAAACCCTCAAAAAACAAAAGTCGACTAAAAAACGTTGCAACTTTGGTCACAAAAAACGATATCCAGCTTGACCCGGTGCCAGCGTGCTGAAGTTTGGTTGAAATACTGATTGGATGGTCGAGCGCATTCTCATTGTCAGCTATATTTCAGAAAAATTCCTCTTCTTTTTCGATAGTGGTAATGTCAACTTTAGAAACCATAGAACGAGAACAGTCTTTGTAGGAATTAACTAATTCTAAAAGTCATTGCGAAGGGGAGATGTCTAGATAATATGCAATCTGAGTTAGAAGCATACTTTTTACACAAAACAAGTACTACTGAACCGTTTTCGAAATTACTAGATTTTGTGAACAGTAAGATTCACATTACCGCTGTTACTCTTCTTTGCTACCAAATCCCCGTTTTCAAGCATTGCATCGTTGTAACTTAACTGAGAATAGATATGCTCCAAATAACAGAGATTCGCACTTATTTCGACACGACGTATCTCTTTAATTTATTGCCTTAAGATGAGTTCCCAGTTTACAGTTGCAATCTATTAGGATATGGCAGATATGGGGTAAGAATTCGACTGCTACATTGCAATAAATCGACACAGCAAACACATACTGTATACCTACCGTATTCTGATAGACTAGAGTACTGTCGAAAGTTACCTTCCATGTCCACTAATAAAAACACAACCATATGTCACAAAATTTGCCTTCTGTGCACAAGCGAGGATGTGCTATAGCCATGATTAACCTTAGAACAATGAGGTATCGACATGTATTTTTCTAAGAATTGTGTAAAATTTGCTTCAGTGACTCTGATTTTTTGATGGAACTTATGCTGCTCCAACATCAATACAAATTATATCATTCTTATCAGCTTGACGAAGAGAAGACCAGTCGAAGAAGTTGCACACAATTACTCGAACCTCACTGAACTCGCTTTCGTAGCTACTGCTTTTGTGGAGGAAAAATTCTTTGAATGTACCAGGACAAACCCCTTGCGGAAATGGAACATACTGAATCCATTTTCAGTACGGTTGAGCTGGCGGAATATAGCTCCCACGCCACCCAAGGCCAGAGCAAGTGGCTGAAACTGGCAAACCACATGTTTTACAGTAGCTAAAGCCACAACTCTATGATTTGAGGCTCAAACTAATACAGTTGCAAATTTTTATCTCATGTGAGTAATTTTCAAAATTTCGTTATCTCTCGGTGAAAGTGCCCCCGTGCCCAACCGGATCCCCACCGGATGCTAGATATGGCATAGCTGCGAATATTTACTGTATGCGGATGTAGAAGAGTAAATGACTGCGTATTCTTTTGAAGAAATGGAAAGTACTCAAAGCATGCGAATAAAGTTGCATTTGTGGCATCAAACTCGGTTCGATGAACCAGCTACGGTTGGACGAACGTCGTAGTGGTTCGTGGCGCCGCTAAGACATATCGAATTCAAGCTTGATCCTGCCAATGAAATCTTCTGAACTCCGAGACTGTTAATTATCAGGTTGAAAAATTAACTCTGAGCCATTGATTGGCTGCCTTCATTCGGTAGCCTATTCGAATACAGAGCAGATTGCGTCTGGAGCGTGCTCGCGAAGTTCATAAAACCAAAACTACACTTACCATCAGCTCCATCGGATTTCGTGTAGCAATGAAGAGGGCCTACGGCTATGATATTCACTGTTCAATGAGTCCAAGAGTTAAGAGATAATGCAAGATCTTCATTACTCATCTATGAAAACTCAGCTTGACGCAGTAAGGTTCGTTCCGTAGAATTGAGTGCTATTTCGTCAGGGAATCGTCTCTCAGCTCCCAATATTTATGGACCCAACATGAAACGATGGGGGTATCAATACTGTTTTATCACAAAACGACGATATGATATGATGTGATATAAACGGTGAGGTTTTTAGCGGTTCTTACCCAATTTTCTTCATCCTCCATAAAATTCTTATTCCTGTGCTCCTATAGTATCGTTTTACGAACGGCAGATAATAAGGCACAAGTGTGAAACTTGAAAAAGTACACCAGCACACTTTTACAAAAAAGTAGTCCCAAAAAAGTAGTTATATTTGCAGTCTATAATTTGCAGCTAACGGAATAAAATTCTTAAAACTAGGGAACTAGCATCACCATTAAAGGATGTCTAAATATAGAATTTATTGCTTCGATACTGTACGGCAACACTCACATATTTTCTAATATATGTTCAAAAAAGTAACAAATCAAACATTTCAAGATAAATAGCTATTTGTTCAACGAAATTACACACATTTTGTTCAACGTCGGAAGAGCACGAATCGTGAGAGAGACTTCGGTAGTTGGGCAACAAACGCTTTGGTTGGGCTCGTGGGGGTCGGAGCTGGTGTGGGAGCGCCGATGGACGAGACGTCACCCTGTGGACGAGTCGTACAAGGTGAGCTTCTCGTAGCTGCTGTTATGCGTCCATCCATCATGCCGAGAAGATGTGGAAAATCCAGGGCAGCACACTGAAATGGAAATCTCAGTTCAGTTTCTACAAATCACAAGTAAAACTCTTGCTTTCACGTCGCAGCTAACGAACACATGACGGTTTTGAATCTGAACTGGAGCAGGCCAGTTGTGTTAGAGCACGGCGACTTCACTTTCATCAAGTCTGAGATGGTGCCGATCTCTATCACAAATAGCCTGCTTCAGTTCAAATTCAAGATCACCAAATGTCTACCGAGACGGAGGATAATTATAATATGTAGTGACTGTCCCAGCTTTTTTCTCGTATCAATAAAGTTAATTTTTCTATCTTTTCTCAAGAAACGACCCTTATCATCGCTCATGCTCGGCAACCATTTGTTGGTTAACATCGTAAGGCTTTGGGGAGCTAATTAAACTGAGACAAGAACTTAGAAAAAAATATGAGACCGCTAATGAGAATGTTGAAAAGCAGAACAGTTTACAGCTATAGTTAGCTAGAATTTCAGCCCAATATAGTACGGTCACGGTGCCGAGAATGTGCGGTAAAATTTGCGCGTGAACAGATAGCCACTGAAACGCAGATATTTTGCGCGCGCAAGCTGCCGGCATTACAAGCTAGCTATTTCGAATGCTATAGAATATTACAGATCGCTACTTTATGACATAAAATCATTGCAGCTTTAACTTTATCCTTCTACTTGCGCCTTTCCCAAGATTATGGTCAGAGGGCAGGAAAGAGGATATTCGATTTGATTTTGTAATAGCAGAACTCGAGTAACGGGATAAGCAATGAAGTTGACACATGATACTTTTGCAATAAATAGCTCAAGATGTGAATAGTCATTTTTTCTTTGCTGACGACTGTTTCCAGATGAGAAGAAGCGAAAACTTGCAATGGCCAATAAAATACTCTGAAATGAATTGGTCACGAAATAAGAAGCTGACGAACAGCAATTTCTTACAATTAGAAAACCGTAAATTGTAGGAAGAGATGGCTGGACGATGTATGTTGATAACTTGACGTGAAAAGCGACCAGTTTCTTACAACTTATTACAATTATATGGATCGTCTAAAAATAACTGTCATCTTGTACCTACCTCAGCTTCATGCTCGGTGAAATCATCGATGTCTACGAGCAGCGAATCATGCTCCATATGCAGTCCATCGCGCTCAATCAACAGTTGAACCAGCTCAAGATTCTTCTCTGGAATTTTGTGACAATCGTGTGCATAACTTCAATGCTACTAGCTATCAACCAGGATAGGTTAGGAGATAAAGGCTACTGCGTGACGAAGGCGCAGAAGCAGTATTAATTGAGCGGGCGCGAGCGCGACGCGCGCGTATCTTCACTGTTGCAATCCTGCACCTCATGCGCTCCGTGGCTAATAAAGCCGCGTTCGCGTCCGAAGATATTGCGCCTTCGTCATGCAACAGTCTATATGTACTTTGACAAAGTGAAATTCCTAAGGCACAAAATGGATAATACTGTAACTTTTTTGAAAAATAAAAGCAGTGTTTTCGTTGGGGTAGCCCTTTCGTAAAGTAGCACAAATATATAGGAACTTCTTCAAGGTAAGCCTTGATATTAGTCATCACAAAGTTTGTCAAAGGTTGATTCTTTTTGTAAAGGTTCCGAGGCTTTTAGGACAATTCTCTTGAAGGACTGACCGTACCCCGGTATTGGGAGATAACATACCCAATGAAGAAATGAAAGTGAACAGAAACTCACTGTCTATGGCCTCCTCCATCACCTCTTTGATTCGTATAACCTCGTTCATCGACATTTTCCGAAGGTATTGTCGAGCTTGCCGAGGAACACCACTGGCTCTCGACTTACTCCTGCAAGTTATATGTACTTAAATTTTATTACTAAGAACGACATGTGGTTACCTTCTGTAATGATCTAATGCAGTTTGAGCGGCTTTCTTGGCATTTTCCAACACTGTTTTAGTTTCGGCGTGAAGCAGAGTTTGTCGTTCACCTATAAATATCTGACTAATAAGTGACTGGAGTTCGCCACTTTATTCAAAATGATGCTTCAGTTTTATCTATTACTATTTTTTTTCCGACTCCGCTCCGACTGGTCCATAGATTTGTCAAAGCTCAAGGGAGCATACAAACGCCAAAGTGATTTATCAAAAACACATGTCGCACAAAGTCTCAATCTTAAGGAAGGGCCGGGCCGGGCAAAGCTTCATTGTGCTATAAAAAACATTGAGTCTCGGACTTTTGATTTTTCTTTTAGATCACAATGAACGAAAAGAACCGTCTAACAGGTCGTTTACAATAAAAATAACTAAGTGATTCTGAGCGATGAAAATCACATAAAATCGCTGTGTTTTCCCTAGATTATATTTGAAATGTTAAGGCAAAACTATGACACCTTGTGTAGGATGCTAATACCAACCAGTTACGAATAAGCCAACTATGAGCAACTGAGCAGTTTTGATGTTGCGGATTAGAAAATATCCTAGATATAAGTGATTGTGAAATATGTATCCAAACAAACATTTTTCCCTTCTTAATATTGAGATTTGTAAAAAAAAACTCAGATAATAAGCGAAGCTGTTGTCATTTTGCTATGTCTGTAACTTTGGACTGAGGTGTAACGAGCCAAATAATTTCCTGACGCTATTTTCGTTGAAAGCAACAGTTTATCACATTTATACAAGGAGTTCAGGTATATCACCCAATAATTTTGTCATACCATGGATTTAGCTAGATCTCCTAATGATTTTGTGAGCAGCTCAAGCTTCATTCGTGCCCTCTTGCCATCACTTGTTTGTTCTCTATGCAATTGTTCGAGTAACGTCCTTGGGGGTGCTTATCGAAGACAAATCAGCGTTCATAGGAATGAGGCAGCGAAAGTGGCCACAAAAAACAGAGCATGGATTAGCGGGGCACACGCCACCATTCGTCTGCTGCGAGTTGTGTGCATGATCGGATCTCGGCCAAATCCAAGCAAATAACCCTTGTGTGATGGATGACGCTTTCGAACGACCAGTTGCATGTGACAGTTAATCACCGTGGATGATGCCAAAGCCGAAATGCTCCATCACAAATTGACTTTGAAGAGTTATGAGAGGATCACTGACTCAAAAACGAGCAAATGGTGCTGCTTGTTGACTCGCCAAACGCTGGCAGTAATTCTGAGCATCGCTTTAGCAGATTTTTGCTAACGATTATTCTAAAGACCTAAGAACAAACGGACAAGAGTGGTACCTATAGGTTGAAAAATAAAACATGTCGTTTGCCAGCCCAAACGTACAAGGAACACTAACCATAAGAAAAGCGTGGAAAATACATACTTCTAAACTTTCGAACAAAATCTGGAGTTAATTCTAATGCCCAATATCCGCTTCAAAAGAATCTCACAAGACTCGCTCTTGCTCATTTATATCAGACACATACAGCCATTTTAGTATGCTTTTTTTCGCGTCTATAGATTAGGAAAAAAATGAAAATTGAAAAATGGCAACTCCATTTCTCCTTGTCCTGGGTTTCTCCAACATAGCATCAATACTTCAAATCTTTAACACTTTATTTATGACTTAACGGCCTTGTATGCGCCTTAGTTCCCAAGGAACATTGCCTTTGTTCAAAAATCCGAGAAAAAGGTAGTATTTCTCCTGGTTACATTTTACAACACTCGACTCTCACGAACAATAGGCTCCGTTTCGAAATTAAACTTCAACTTTAACTTGTTAATATGGAGAAAGACTTTGAGATCTTACCTAGCAAAAGGCTAATGGTTGACTTTAATGATAAGAATATGATTTTTTAAAGATAATCCGTTTGAGTGGAAAAGAATGATGAGACAATGTGGTACTTGTCAATTAGAGCTAGAGCTTCATGTTTTTGCATGTTCTTTACCAACAAGAAAACTCAGATAATCGCACATTACATTTTGTAGTATTTACTGACATACGAATAAAGCAGATTATCATGCTATTCTTCGTGCAGGAAAAAGTGACATTCAAGAGCAGTAACGAGGGAGAAGCACTCTTTTTGAAAAACAATATAGTGAGTAATGCTTTTACAGCATATCGACCTCACCTGAGTTTCGTATGAAAAAATAGTTAGTGTCTTTTAAGAAACAAAACTACAGATTTGATAACCCTCCAACTAAACTCTTGGAAGGATCTACATTTGCTCAGATTACTGAATCTATCAATCCATGTATTACTGCCAAAATTCCATATTGCCAAATGCAAATTTCTATGCAGCCACAGATAGCTTCAACTAACACTAATACACTTCGTGGACATTTCGCGCAGAAAAACTATGTAAATGCCTTATAATTTGAGCCCCCCCCCCCTCCACTGAATAAAGCAGCAAAGTGGAGGCGAACATCGAGTAACAATCTTGCGTCAAACGGACCCATAATATAGCATGAGAAGACTTCTAAAAAAGTACTGCATCGAACGTGTCAATGACCTCAGGCTGAGTTGGGTGCATAAAAATGGTCATTTAGTGAAGAATTGAAATATTTCGGTAAAATAATGATGAATGCTAAGAGCCTGGGCAACTTCACAAATACTTACAAGCCCTCGTTAGCCATTCTTGCGCGGCTTTTTCTAACAAATCTTTGCAGTTTCTGCGCAAAGAGGGTTTATCAAGCTGGCGAAAGATTATTACATCACGATGGTCCCCGAACTGCAAGAGGTTGAGGAGAATCCATTTACCCTCAAGTTTTCGCGCAATCATGAGAAGAAACAGCCTAAGCAGGGTGTTCAAGCACGTCTTCAGAAAACTTCGAGAGCCTCCTATTGTCACTTGAGCGCTTTGTTAAACAATTGTCAAGTCGAAGCTTCTGCAAAACTCTGCGCATACTTCTTTCACAAAGACATCTCTTTGAATCAAATGAACCAATTCCCCATATCTTCAGGCGAAAAATCGAGATAGAAAGAACAAACAGCGGTCTCACATCTAGCAATGTTCCAGACATTGTCGGAAATAACATACGCGAATCCGGCATTTTTTCAGGGTCAGAGGAGATGAGTGGGGAGGAAGATTAATGCAAGCATAAAAATCACCTTCTAATATAGCACATTCGAAGAAAGTAAAGAAGGGATTCAAGAACACTTACATGGATCCAAATGCTGTTCTCGGACTGCTCGATCTCGTAACTTTTGGAGATAGGGATCTTCTCTCGATGATCCTGGCCGACTCGTTCCTGAAATGCGTGCCGTAGAAATGTGTTCGAAAGTTTACATTTTTGAAGCATTCGAGAACCAAAACCTAGGACTGCAGAGAGTTCAAGAAATCGTTGGAAAAGCACTGCAACGTTATTGAATTTTTACCATCAAAATCTGCCTTGTGTCTAATTTGCGAATACGTCTGCTGCTGAACAATGGCTAAGGCAATGTGGTTTGAGATAAGAGATTGAGCTTTTTATGCAAACAGCGTCTCACAGCAAGCTCTTCGACGTATGAACTTTGCTAGCAGAAAATTCTGAGTTGTAAGCATAGAAGTTTCAAAACCAACATTCTCATTTTTTCAGCGGGTTTCCACCAATCAACAACTGTTTATAATTCTAAGATTTTTGCATTTCCTGATTTCATCGGTTATTCCTGTGAAGCGAGGGTTGTTTGAATTTTACTTGTTTTAAAACGGAAGTTTGCATTTTCATAAATTAATTCGATCTAAATGAGTTCGATGTAAGATAAGAGATATGGAATCAAAAAGGTATTCAAGTTGTTTGTGAATTTATGCTGTGCAATGGATGGTATGTATTGCCTGAATGAGTAAGCTTGGAATGATTTCATTCCCAGGAAGCACTTTTACTTTTCCCATTGTTTTCTCACACGATTGGCACAAGCATAAGTAAAGGAAAGGAAAGTAAGAGAAAACTGCAGTTCTGCAAGGCTGAAAGCCCATTTTGCAGCGAATGCAGAAGGTATTTGAGGACAAAATGTTCACTAAAGTTGTAAAGTTGTAAAGATCACACTGCACAAGTAAAAAGCGTTTGAATATCAAGAAGGCATAAGTGTTATATAACCTTGAGTATCGAAGGAAGACGCAATTAACTGTTTATTACAAGATTATTACTGAACAAAACTGATGAGCTAGAAACAATCCAAGTTGTAAAACGCTGAAGTAAATAGAAAAAAGTTCCTTAGGGGATTGCTATTTATTATTCACGACATAATGACTCCATGTATTCACTATGAATAAGCTTTTTTTTTTCAAAAAGTTTTTTTTGGAGTTTTGCATCAATCCATAGTTAACAAAGTATCGCCATTCTTCAGAGTAAGCTTCGAAGCACAAACCTTTGAGATTGGGTGTAGAGCGTGACTTTGGCACGATAAACTCGTCCTCAGACTCCGACACCTCACTTTCGGATGCACTCTCGGATAACTCGTTCATGTAGCATACCTGGAGCATTTGAATGTGTGAAGCTGAAGGATACCAAGATGCTAGTGGCATGTATTTGACTGCTTCGCATACAAAAACGATAGAGCGCAGCAATAATTGTAGTTTTTCTAGATGTGAGACTTTCTAAACACTCCTTCGAAGAAGGACTCTCGAGAAATAGTGTCGAAAGAGGAGCGGAAAGGCTGAAAAGGCTGCATGAATACCCAAGTGTGAGCTCGAACCGCATTTTTCAGTTCGTTTTTTCCATTCGACCTAGGGAAAGACAAATAGTGTAACCCGAGAAGAGTATCGGTGTCCATGTTTTCAGTAAATCTTTTGGTGTAATGTATAGGACTTATCTGCCGATGGACCACATAAAAATTCAGATGTGCCCACCTGTAAGTTCATAGCCGTTTGTAGTCGTAAAGCCAGGTTGGAACGGTGAGGGCGCGTGCTCACCGCGGGGCTAGCTCCCTTCCATGAGTCGGCTTGTAAGGCTAGTCGGCGTCTTACCTATGAAAGAAAATGTAATAAAATTTGCAGGTTTTTGTCTGCTTTTGTGCGGTTATCGGGCGTATATGCCGTTGCGAGAGGTATCCAATATAGTATATGACGTTAATATGCCAACGACCACAATAATAAGCTCTCAATCTGATTAGTTGAAGAAATTGGGAATAAAATGTCAAGTATATCTGCATGTGATTCTATTGGCGTTTACATCTTTCTTGGTTATTGAGCTCGTCAAGTGAAATGCTAAACTCGTGTTCGCCAGTAAGTAGACATTTCTCACATCTCTAAGCGTTCATATTCATTTCTCATTCAGCCCATGCCTCGGCGCAGATTCACATTCCCCAGCGGCCAACAAAATGCTCAAGACGCAATTTGCCTACACGCACCTCGCTCAATCTCGTCGTGTTCTTCGTTGCTCTTCCTCTCTCTCGTATTTACCTCGTTCACGCTTTCTCGCATGTTTGTCATTCACGCAGCCCCCGGGGGTCGTCGGCTGAGAAATGCACTTGCAAATACGATTTGCGGCCCATGAAATCAGCTGTTCATCGAGGCATACACGTCGTCGACAACAAATTGAGTCTCGTCCACGACGAATACAATGTCAGCGCTGCTTTGACCCGAGCACACGCGTCATGTTCAGCTTAGTTCGGAGCACTTGGCTGAACGAACTTTTTACGCGGTGTCCAGATTATTTCTGTTTGACTAGCTGCGTTACACAGATTCGAACGAGAGTACGTGGTTCCGCGCACGCGGTACATTCGAGAGTCAGACTTTTAGACACCAAGAGCTCACCAGATTTTGTGAACCTCAAGCTGCATTCCTTCTTAGAAAAACAAGTTCTCCGCGAAAATTGGCGTGGAAAAAGTCAGTCGACGCTGCGCTGCTACTTTCTGCTAGCTATACCAATGCCAATATCTTAGTAATCGGAAAAGCATTTTACAAAGTGGTCATGGACAAAAAGTCTGCAGCGTAAAGCCATTTTCACTTCTTCGCTCCTGCTCAAGCTCTTTGTGTAATTTAATCTACGAAATGCGACCCGATTACGAGAAAAAAAGTACGCGACAGCAGCAAAGAACTCAAGGATAACAAAGAAAATTCGAGATTTTGCAAGGGCGACGGCACGAGGTTAAGCTTGTATGATATAACGAAGTTAATAAAAACTCTTTTGCTGTTTCCGGGTTAGCCTATTAATTTGAATGGGGCTAATAGCGGCAATTATTGTTCTCATATTGTTGTAATTATGAAGTCGATGACTTTTCTATCGTATATTACTCAATATGTTTTGGGAATTTCAATCAATAGCTTCCAAAGAAGGAACTCACCTCTTCACCCAAAAGACGCCGATCGTGCTCTTCTCGCTCTCTCGCGGCATTCTTGAGCTGCTCCTCTAATTTAGCGAAATCCAACTCTGGCAGACCTGAAGATATTCATAAAAAACCAAAAATAAAAATCAAGAAGAACGAGAAGAGAAAGATATACACCGACCAGTATCGAGATTCTTCAACTCCAGATTTATGCTTTCACGTATAGCCGACATATTGGAGTTAGGTTTGAGCATGAACGAATCCATTGATATCGACGTTGGCGGTTGTCGAAATAGCAAAAAGTTTGAAAGCCTACAAAGAGACAGAGTTTACAATGTAAATCCTTGCATCAACAATTAGTATACTAGCATGCTTGCTATGTTTTTTGGGGTAAAAGAACATATGTAGGACAATATTACAGCAGATTCAACATATTCAGCGCAGCTTTACCCTGTCCCAATCAAGAAAAGTAATTATTCTGTCACACCTGTTCGAACTATCATCATCATTGAGAGTCTTTGCTGAGCCATAAGAGTTGTTCTCGCTTCCTGCAATTGGACAGATTGAGATCGTGCTACAAGCTTGTGGTAATATTAAGGTAAAAAGTTAGTTCTATACATATGTCAATCACTCAAGCCTACTCAAAACATTCGACAAAAAGGAAAGCCAGAGCTTTTATAGTCATTATACTATGTCATTTTGTTTTTGCATTATTGTAACAAGCATGCTCGGATGTAAGAGGCTGGCTGGAATTTTTCTTGTTGGTGAAAAAAAATCCACCTCTGCTTTTTTCCTTAGAAAGCTATTCCTTTTATAAGAAAGGGAGCCTTTGTGAGATTAGACATGAACAATTCTAACGAAGTTTTTTAGGGAAAAATTGCGCAATAGCGAAAGAGGAAAAAAAAGGCAGAAACAATGCTGTATAGTTTGTAGCTACGAAAATAATGTGCCCAGGTAACTAGCTTTTTTCCGTTCAAAGAAAAGAGTAGCAAACCTCCTGAGGTGAATGATTCACATGTAGTTTCCCGTGATTCTCGATTGAGGCGTTCTGTAGTCAGCTGAAGTTGCGGCTGCACTTGAGCAGCGGTAACAATCTCTGCAAGCATAGAAGTTGAGCAGAAACGCAAAAGTGGGTGATTTCGCGAGTGTCGAGCTCGGTGATATGAATTATTAATGAAAAGAGGAGCAAATGTGCGCGCTAAGCCGACCTTTTCGAGGGGATAACTCTTCCGGTGAGACATCCGTGTCACGGACACTGCACGTACTTGACATCTCAAACGAGTCCTCTGAGCATGATGTGGTGCCAGAACCACCGTCAACATCAGGTCCTTGGCTGCCTGAAGTTACGTAGGAGTTGTGAGAGGAGCTGCACGAGCTCATGGGGGTTTGTTCTTACCCTGATTATTTTCAAGTGAAGAAAGCGATTCAAGACTGGATGAGTTCGACTGTTGATTCTGTTCGTCGTCGACAGAACGCAGCCGCAGCAGCTTGACCACATCCATACTACACGTATAGTTATTGTTGTGCTCGGAAAGCAGGATGTCGGCCAGCGTGCGCACGGTGTTCGGCGAAGACATCTGCTCGAAGTCCTTGCCGGACACCGAGCCCATCGTTGACACGCCGCTGTCGTCACGCGCTTCCGTGCTCGAAGCACATCCGTAAACGTCAGTCAGGTTCGGCGAGCTTGGCCCCTCCATCGGAGACAGCGGTAATTTTGCCGGCTGCCGAGCCAACATTCCCCCCTCAGAACTTCATCGGCGATCAATGCGCAACACGTTGCGTTTGGCCACCCCGGTTCGGACCTCGTAGTAAGGCCTATCTCTGCAAATAATGGCTGTTATTTAGGTGGTTGCTGCACTGCGTAAGGGAAGCCGCGATACACTTTTTACGAAGTTACTGGATGAAAAACGCCTCTAGAGAAGTAGAAAACAGAAAAAGTCAATGGCTATAGAAATCAAGATGATTCATGAATAAAGACCCTAGCAAAGAAGACGAATAGGGCCATTCTAAACTTATCCTGCTGGTTTTAACATCGTCAAATATTATATCGCACCTGACTGCCTAATGTTGATGAAAAGAATGAGAGCACAGACTGCGCTGACCCCCCCCCCCAAAAAAAAATTTGTCCAAGAGGGCACGCCGATGCAGAAGAGCCACTAGAGCTAAGACCAGATCTGATTTTGTGTGCATTCCTTGCAAAATTTTCGTAGCGAGAGATAAATGGGTAACTAATGATTGATTACATGAAAAAAGGGCGTAAAAGGTGATGCCATCGGATTAGCACTATGATGTTGATTTTTCTATATGAGAAGCGAAGAATATCCATAAGATTGAATGACATATGAAGTTCTTCTAATGAGATGCACACATGGTCATGTTTATCGGGTATCATATGTAAATGAGTGGGATTAGCAAGGATAAAAAGATTAGAGAAGGAAAAATGAGTAGACAAATTTAAGGAATTTCTCAATATATTTCATTTGCGAGGTTTTCGAGATGTGGTTGTAGCTGCTGCAGCAGCTGAGTCAATAGAAAAAAAGCTCACAAAAGGCTAAACACTTGAGAAAGAGTTGTCAGTGACGAACACATTCCGGAACCAGTCTAATAGAGTTGGCTTTGTACTGAAAGAAGCGGCTGGATAACAATAACATTCTAGAATCACTAACAAAGTCAGCAAAACGACGGCAGTGTCACATCTACGAGAGAATGTGAATCGACAAAAGACGGCACTTTTTGCAAACGAGTACGCCGGCTCGAGAACGTTTACGATCGCTACGGTTTTGAAGAAGACAATGACGACGCAGATGACAAGGAAAAGAATGGATGCTGAGGCTGTATACTTATGACGAATGATTCATGCTACGATATTATTGCAAGGCGCGCAAAGCACGTAAGAAATGTTACGGAAGTTTCCGCGCGAGTTTGATAGGGTGTACTATGAATTTCGAAGCAGTTGTGAATGATGTGAATCTTTTTTGTTGCTCCAAAATTTAGCTCTCGTCGGACGTTTAGAAAATAACAGAAGCCTTCGAGTTACAGAAATTAATCATTGGTGACCAGGAGAAAATACCATATTGCTATGGCTAATTGAAAGCTTTGCTGCTCGTCTGAGACTTTAACAAACAATACTTGTTGACCGAGAAAACACCTCATGCTTTGCAAGCCCAGTTTTCGGAATGGGAAGTAGAAAACATTTATTATTCACGAACTGAGAAAAAGTTCATCGTGTCCGCTTTGATGCATATTATGAATTCCCTGTGCACTAGAGATGAGTAGTCGCAATGAGTGAAAATGCAATTTGCTAGCTAATTTATTTTTCAAAGCTGAATTGAGTGCCACAAGTAGAAAATGCAGATCTATTTCCGATTTGTTATGCTTGCAAATTTTTTGTAAAATTTTATAATTATAAGTGAGCTGCTTGGAGCTTATAAGAACTAACACTGCGGAAGATATGTGTCGTTGATAGTATATATTAGAGCTGAATGATCTTAAAAAGCAAGAGTACCTCGACTAGGATGTACGTAATAAAGTACGGAAGCGGAAGCAAATCAAAGCAATTAGAATCATTTCATTGGTGCTATGCACTAGGAAAAGACTTCGTGTCTTTGACAGAAATTAGCTGAAAGGCGAGCACTTAGGAAGTAAGCAATGAGTGCACATTGAAATCTAAGAGGAAAGGCCTAAGGGGATGGGCATTCGAAATGCGCTCGTCACGTAATCTTATATTTATTAGGACGTCGTCACCGCCTTTTTGCCTCTTCGGCCAAGTCGTCGCTTCAAAACAGCCTTAAGAATTCGGAGAAGGATGGCCAAAGTGTGACAGACGTCAACAGACGTTTCAGGTGAGTTTTAAGCACAATCGCATCTGCTTAGTCAAGATCAAGAGGTGAAGTGACGACAAAGCAGAAAGAAATGGTGGAAGCATGGGGTAAAGTTGTTCCATCAGCACCCCAAAGGGGATGGATACCTAATCAACATGCTGCGCCATTGCAGCACAACAGGAAACAATCAATGCGAAAACACGAAGACAACACGGAAGAAAGAAATCGAGCCAAAAATGTAGTCGGGGTTAGAGCGGCCAGGGCAGTTGTCAAACGACCAGCACGTCGCTAATATTACAAGTGGGTCTCTGTAAGAAGAACGATGGCGGGGAGCCACATAAACGTCTGCTGATGGCTAGCAACCGGCAGGGTGCCAGCTATCGAATATCCGGACATTGCATGAGTGAAACGTGTGGAAGACATGGGACATGTTTGTGGCTGGTGGGCGAGGGGGCAATAAAGATTGCAGACGAGCAAAAAAAAACGTGGTCCACGCAACAGGAGGAGCGGATTTGGATCCGGACAGTGGATTTTGGGCTCTGCTCGCCTAGCAAGTGCCCGAGACAATGAGTCAACCCGCTTTGATGTGAGATGAAGTGGCATGGCTGGTGGTGCCGAGAGGAACTAATGCGCTGCCATATGAGAGCAAAAAAAATATGCGCGGCTGGATATGCGCTGTCCGAATCGCCGCGACTGGTGTATGTGATCTAATTTGACGGATATCAACGCGAGTTCAAAGCGGCCTATGCGGACGAGCAGTTCTGGCTCGATTATAGCTGCACCCGCCTTGATGGGGGAAGGAGGTGTGTATGTGTGTGGGTTGAATGACGCAGTAGCCTGTTTAGCTTAGCCGAATCGCAGAGATATGTGGATGCAAGAGGAGCCGGACGAGATCTGGCGTTATTTTTCTGATCGCGAAATCACGGTAAAGTATGACTGTGAACGTTGCACTGAGAACTTCGCTATCCCACATGTTCGACGAATATTAGCCAACATCTGGCGTGGGAGACGAATCCACAAATGAGATGAGGTTTTGCGGAGGCAATCAAACGCCAGCTACAGCTCATAAGTAGCTTCATAACTTAGATTTCTCTGTCGCAATAGCAAAGTGCGAGGTGATCTATTGATAGCATAGCAATTTAAAAATAAAATTTTTAAACAACAAATCGTCAAAATTCGAGTAATTCTCATTGCATTCAATAGCTCTTGATTAGCATAGCTCAAGAGAATTTCCGAATGAATAGCGATAACGGGTAAAGCAACAACCTGGCCAGAGAGGATGCGAACTCTCGGGAGTCACGGCCGGCTCGTAACACGTCTTGGCTAATGGGCGGAGTCTGTCTGTCGCTCGCTTAATATCACACAGACACAGACACACACACACACTAGACCGGGGGTCAGGCCGAGTTCGTCGTATTGATCGATATTATTATCAAATTTGGGAATCTGCCATGGAGGGGGTCCGAAAGGTTGAGACAGCATAAAGGACAAATAGGGCAAGATTTTGTGGGATCACCTGAAATTTCAGGAAATTCTCAAAAAAAGTAAGAAAGACGATTTTCGTCCGCCGCTCCCAATAGAAATGAGTTATTTTGTAATGTACTTGAAGTACGTTTTATATTTTTGCTTCCGAATATTAGTGGGAGATAGGTTTGTCACGTTTGGTAGTTATAGGGACACCCAAAAAAGAGTTCATAAAGTGCAGTGCCAGTAGACTACACCTGTATGAAAACGTTCAAAAATGACAGTTCAATATTCGCCTGCAAAGAAAAAAAATTACAATAGGTTAGAGTGCACTCACCAAAGAAAACTTCTGCTCTGAAAGTCTAACTAGTGCTAAAATATATTTCAAGCATTCAAAGAAGTACTGGATCATAAAGGATATGTACTTGTCCTCGTGCTATGGGGAAATGGCGACCGGCTCTCTTGCATTGCTAAGTGCACTATGCTGTCATAATGTGCTTTATGGCCCCTTAATAGAGGTTCGAATCACACCATTTGCCTATGTTTTTTAGTCAGTTAATAAGGCTACTGCATAGAGCATATCACACTGCTCCACAAAATGTAATGGACAACTGGTTGGTAGGATCTCGATAAAACCAATATGAGAGAAAAAGATCCTTGATCGAGAATTTTTGCGCTCTGAGCTCTGTATGTTCTCTATCACGTTTTTCTTTGCGAAAAACCAGTTTATGTTGGTATCTAAATGTGAACAGAAATTGACTGTGACTTTCCACAGTGAATTGCAGAAAATACATTTCCCTTCGTGGATTCTATGAAGAAATTCTTCCATTAGTTTTTTCTAAGTTGTATGGATGCATAGTATTGTCTAAAATGAGCTATCTTCCAATTCTGTAACATAATTTATAGACCAAACCAGAAGAACATTACGCAAATTTCAAAATAAACTACGATACCGATGTCATCATTCTAACCTTACTTTTGCAAATTTTCAAAAGCAAATTTTTAGCCTCAATGGGCACCTTTCCTATTTAGGTCAGTTTCAGTGGGGGAGGGGTGCAAATACGTTTGGATGTACGAAGCTTTTTTCGTTCCCGTGAGCATACTTTAATAGCCCTTTCAAATAATAAGCTTATTTACAAAGTAAACGCGATGCATATCCACCTTTCCGCCCACACAGATAAAAAACTTATCTGGCGGGATAGAGACTGCAAAAAGTTGGACCATAAGTTTATCGTTGCTAAAGATTAATGAGAATGCAATAAAAAACAAATGTGCTTTCCTGAAATCTTATGATTGCCTCTGAATCATGAGAGAAATGGTTTTCATGCGGAATAAGTAAGCTGATAGTGATAGTAGGAACGATTACCAGTGAGAATAACCTAGTTTTTCGAGCATACTAGATGTGTAAAAAATCTGGAAGCAGCCTTTGAATTGATCGAATGGAAGTGAGGAAAACATTTTTGTCGATGAGTTTGTCTTTTTCTTGTTCTTCAAAAATTTCTCCTGCACATGATGGGGGCAAAGTGAGGGCATCTCAA